ATAATTCGGACCGCGCCTGTTTCATGCTTTTCTGAAGAACCTAGAAGATTAGTGAACATGTTTTCGCCGTTGAATGGCGTTAAATGATTCGTCCGGAAGATTTTTTTACTTTCATGTAATCTCGGTATACAGTTCACACAATGCTCTAACAATGATATGGGGACTAATTTGAAGTTAAGTGAATTTACCAATTTTAAAGATTATTAAAAACAAAGTGTATCTCAAGAGGAATATGCTCAGTGGAAATGCAACTTAACACTGTCTACAAGGCCTTTATTTGAAAACAAGTTTTGAAATCAAGAGAAATGTAATACAGGGGTAATTTAGATAGTGTACATTAGGAAGCAGCACTTACTGCATACAACTATAGCCTGAATGTCATTTTAATTGTAAATACGTAAGCCTTGTTGCTCATGTTAAAAGCTGACCTATTTCCCGCCATATATGGCCTCGACTTTACTTTATATTTCTCGACTCTTAAATCCTAACGACATTATGACAATAGTAGATAAAAACGTTCATTGCATGTTGCGGATAAAAACGCAGAGCAAATTTGCTAAAAAAGTACAATAGTGTTTTTTCGGACAAAAAACAAATAACGATTTTCAAATATACATCTAGTAGAAAACAATTATTATTATAATTATTAATTATTATTATTATTAGTTATAATTGTGCTATTATTCTGCTCGTGTAATATCAATGTAAACCATATTCTCTAAGCCTAAATAGTTTCACCTCTATGGTAGTAATATAATGATTAAATTCAATTAAATGTAATGTTGTTTATTACCATTTAACATAAAAGATGAAAATAGCCATTAAAATATTTGTAACCACAGAAACAAAAATTATAAAGAATAATGATCACTAAGCAAATATAAATTCGATTATCACTCAGAATTGTTATCAGTTATTTGTAAATCCCATAAGGCAAATGTAAATTCTATTAATAAAAAAAAACAGTCTGCGACAATGTAATCTTATTATAATCTATGACTTCAACACCGAATAATAACATTTATCAACAACCAATATATCACCGCGTTTTGGCAGACAAGAAAGATTAACCAACAGTAACGGATAGATCCCGCTCAGATATGCAAAGGTTGGAGTTTATTTCAACTTGGCGTACTATTTTAATACGCAAAAATGCCGAACGCAAACATGTGTCTTGTCACATAGTTACGATATGCGAAAACTGAATCTAGGCTATGATATATTACTCTGGGCGTATATTGTTTTTAGTTTATAGTGTACGAGTATGTAAGAAGTACAATAATACAAATAAAAATTGCCGTTGTCTCCATACATACATGAGTCACGTTTTCTAATTGCCTTTCATTTGTTAATAGTAATAACAAAAGGCGAAAACCAATTAATATTCTACCTGAAATTATGCGAGATCAGATCACCAACTAGCTTACAGTGGGTCGCATTATCTACTGAACCATCCGACATCACTCAAAACGTTCTTATACATTTACAACAAATTAATCTCCTGACCGAGATCAGCAATTATCGATTGCATAGTACACCATGGGATAATATTGCTAACCAGCTGTACGCAAAAGTCCATACTAAAATACAGCACGCTGTTAAATTGAATAATCCTTTCAGCGTTCAAAGCATGAAAAATTCCCGCGGACACTGCGACATCAAATAATATGGTTCTTGACTGTAATTTGTATTCAATGTGGGAATCCTATTTACCTGATTATTTATTGTTTACATAGTCAATTTCTAATTCCAGGAAATTAATTTAAATATACAATCTATTTAATTATGTTTTATTATAGTTTGGATAATCACATACTTCAAATAGTACGTTGACCCATACTAACTTAAATGACCATGCAGGATATAGCAATACATTCATATATAATATAATATAATATAATATAATATAATATAATATAATATAATATAATATAATAT